AAAAAAAAACACACATCAGTTTGTTCTCTGTATTTATAATTCTGATCCTACTTTTCATTTTTTTTTAAGATTCCATTTGTAAGTGGAATCATATGGTATTTGTCTTTCTCTGTCTTATTTCACTTAATACCCTCTAGGTCCATCCATGTTGTCTCAAATGGCATGATCTCATCCTTTTTTATAGCTGCAAAATATTCCTCTGTGTGTGGAGCATAATTTTCCTTATCCATTCTTCTATTGATGGACACTTAGGTTGCTTCCACGTCTTGGCTGTTGTAAATAATGCTGCAATAAACATAGGGGTGCATAGATCTTTTTGAGTTAGTGTGTTCATTTTCCTTTGGTAAATATCCCCCAATAGTGGAATTATTGGATCATATGGTATTTCTATTTTTAAGAAAAATGTTATTTATTTGAGAGAGAGAACATGAGCAGGGGGAGGGGCAGGGGGAGAGGGAGAAGCAGACTCCCCACTGAGCGGGGAGTCCAGTGTGGGGCTCTATCTCAGAAGCCTGAGATCATGACCTGAGCCAAAGTCAGATGCTTAACCAACTGAGCCACCCAGGTGCCCCTATATGGTATTTCTATTTTTAATTTTTTGAGGAACGTCCATACTGTTCTCCACAGTGGCTGTAACAATTTACATTCTCACCAACAGTACATGAGGGTTCCTTTTTTTCCACATCCTCACCAACACTTGTTTCTTATCTTCTTAATTTTAGGCAATCTAACAGGTGTGAGGTGATATCTCACTGTAGTGTTGATTTTCATTTCCCTGGTAAGGGACATTGAGCATCTTTTCATGTGATTGCTGGCCATCTGTATATCTTCTTTGGAAAAATGTCTATTTGGATCCTCTGCCCTTTTTTTAATTGGTCAGACCACTAATACTTAAAGTAGTCATTGATAGGTAAGGAATTACTAATGTCATCTTATTGTTTTCTGGCTGTTTTGTAGTTCCCTTGTTAATCTCTTCCTCTCTTTTGTGAATTGGTGATTTTTCATAGTGGTATTTTTTTATTTCCTTTATCTTTCGTGTATCTACTTTTGGGTAGGTTTTGCTTTGTGATTACCATGAGGCTTACATATAATGTTTTAGATACCAAATAGTCTATTTCAAGCTGATAACAAGTTTTATTGCATACAAAACTACACCCTTTGCTTCCCCTAAATTTTATGTTTTTCTTGTCACAATTTGCCTCTTTATATTGGGCATACATTACCAAATTATTTCACGTATAATTATTTTCAATATTTTCATCCTTTATACTAGATTTAAGTGGTTCACACACCATCATATTATAGTATTCTGATATTAACTATGTGTTCATAATTGTGGCATATTTTCCTATGTTCTCATGTTACTAATTATCACCCTTTTGACTTGAAGAACTACTTTTGGCATTTCTTATAAGGCAGATCTTGTGACGATAAACTCCCTTAGCTTTTATTTGTCTGGGAAAGTCTTTATTGCTCCTTCATTTCTGTAGGGCAACTTTTCCAGATCAAGTATTCATGGTTGGCAATGTTTTTCTTTCAGCACTTTATATCATTCCATTTTTCTCAGCCTGTAAAATTTATGATAAGAAATCTGACAGATAATATAAAATAACTATACCTGTAATAATTTGGTGATATATGCCCAATATAAACAGAGGTAAACCTTACAGAGGTTCCCTTCTATGTGGGAATTTTTTTTTTTCTGTTGCTACTTTTATTTTTAATTCCAGTAGAGTTAACATAGAGTGCTGTGTTAGGTTCGGGTGTACAATATAGTGATTCAACACTTCCATACATTTCTCAGTGCTCAACAAGGTAAGTGTATGCTTAATCCCCTTGATCTATTTCACCTACCTCCGGTCTGGTACCATGAGTTTGTTCTCTATAGTTAAGGGTCTGTTTTCTGGTTTGTGTGTGTCTCTTTTTTCCCCTTTGTTCATTTGTTTCTTAAATTCTATATATGAGTGAAATCATATGGTATTTATGTCTTTCTCTGACTTGCTTAGCATTATATTCTCTAACTCTACCCATGTTGTTGCAAATGACAAGATTTCATTCTTGTTTATGGCTCAGTAACATTCCATTGTGTATATATATTCCACATCTTTACCCATTCATTTGTCAGTGGACACTTGGGTTGCTTCCATAATTTAAGTATTGTAAATAATGCCACTATACAGATATGGGTACATGTATCCCTTTGAATTAGTGTTTTTGTATTTTTTGTGTGTAAATACCCACACTGGATCATTGGGTAGTTCTATTTTTACCTTTTTGAGGAACCCCCATACTGTTGTCCACTGTGGCTACACCAGTTTGCGTTCCCACCAACAGTGCAAGAGGGTTCCTTTTTCTGCATCCTTGGGCTCCCTAAGTAGAGGGCACCCTGGTAGGATGGTTGAAACTGAAGTTGGTGCAGGCTGGGGTGTCCTGGGAAGCTCCATGCAGGGGGGTACTCTGGAACCAAAGCAGGCATGGGCACAGAGGTTTCTGGGCACTCTGTGCAGGGTGCCCTGGCAAGTCGTCTGGAGGTGAAGTGGTTCAGGCCTGATGTGTTCTGGGATGTTTTGTGTCTTGATGAGTTAGTTGGAGCCGTAGTGACTGCTGACCAGGGGTGTCCTGGTATGTGCTGCACTGGCGCCACCTTGATGGGATGGCTGGGGCTGGTGTGGAGGTAGGTCAGCTATGGCAGCCCAACCCTACTTCCCTCTGTGCTATCAAGGTAGAGGGTGAACATAAACCACGGCACTCGCCAGCCCCTCTCATCCAGAGTGAGTTCCAGTAGCTCCCCCACTGTTTGGCAGGGTCCTAGGGCTAGATATTTTTTTATTCTAGCTGTCCTTTGAAACCACAGCTTTTATTTTATGTCCCAGGGCAGACGAATCTCCTCCCCATCCCTTAGTACTATCCCTCCCCACTGCAGTACACCCTGCGGGGGATGGGGGCTCCTTCATTACCATGTCTCCCTCTCTCTTGCTGTTCTTTATGTGGCCTCTCTTTTGTGCAGAAGCTGTTTAGTCAACCCTCCATTCTTCAATTGCTCTATAAATGTGTGTGTCTGTGAAGGAGGTGAGTCTTCCTATGTTGCCACTTTAGGAACCCCTAAGGTATCTTATGTTCTTTTTTCATAGGAACTTGGATATTTTGTAGCATTCATTTATTCATTCAGTGAACATCAACTGAGTGTCTACTGTGGACGAGGCACTTTTCTAAGGGTTAGATATTCTGATGAACAAAAGAGACAAAATGCTGACGTTTGCTGGAGTTTATCTTTCAGTGTGTGGGGGGCAAATAATATATAAGAAAAGTAAAACATGTAGTATGTTATTTTGTGATAAAGGCTAGGGAAAAAAATCAAGCATGGAAAGATATTTAAAAGTTGGGGGGTGGTACTGAAATCTTATGTTGGTTGGCCAGAGGGAACCTTAATGCAGATCTATGGGGTAAAGGATTCAAGTCCAGAGGAGCCGCAAGAGCAAAGGCTTTGAGATGAGAACATGCCTGAGGTGTCCGAGGCACCCCTGGGAGACTATATAGAGAAGCAGAGTACAGAAAGATAAACTTGTCTCACTACTGTTTTGTTTGAGTCAGTCTGTACTTTGCTAAGCAGATAGTTCCTAGACGTTACAGAGCTCATCAAAGGGATGCCTGTTCCCATGTGTCCTCTTTCAGGCATTAGAAGACTAAGTGCTTTGATGCTTGTGCTGTTCTTAGCATGTCAACTGATAAGTAATTAGTAACAGTGAACAAGTTTTCCTTGCTGCTTATCAAAGTTAGGTATTAACTGGTGAAAAGAAGACAGGATAAAATCGGGACAAAAGGAACATGTGTGTGGTTATTAATGTGCTGTGCTTACTTTCAGACATATCAGATGGCAGTTTTGCTAAGTCAAAACAGTCAAAATTGGAAGAAGGTGCTGCTCCAGAATCCCTCGCCTCAGTGACAGAAGAGACAGACCTAGGTAACATTATGTGCCCAGCCAGCCATTCAAGCAAGAGTGTGACAAACTTGTAAGCACTGAATGTACCAGCATGCACTACAAGGGGGTTACATTTCGAAGATCAAAGTTGCTGCAGAACCCTAATAACTAAACATTTTGTCCTTTCAAAGCCAAGTAAATTGTTGCACAAATTATAGATAAAAGCAAGTAAGCACCATATCCTTTCTAGCATTTTGATTTCTGCCTCTTCACTCTTCTTTATGGCAATTTTCATGGCCTAAGGTTCTTAAAAGTCTAGGTCTCTGCTTTAGTTGGTAGTTATTAACTAAGTTTTTATTAGAAATATCCACTCTCTACAAAGGAGAATGATCCAAAATATCTGCATATGTGGGGCTGGCGATCTGCATAAGTGATGCCACTCTGTTCCAAAACAAAAGGCTCCAAGAGGGCAAATTTGGAAGCTCAGAGATACTAGAGGTTGGTGATTAAGAACCAGTTGGCCTGGGTTCCAATCCTGGCGCTCTTGGTGTGAGCTTGAACAAGTTATTTGATCCTTCTGTTCAATATGCACAACAGCGCCTACTTGACATGGTTTTTATGTGGATTACACGAGTCAATACCTTCAAATCCCTTAGAATAGTGCCAGAGCCCTCATAAAACTCTGTTGCCCCTGTAGAAAAGTCCTACCTGTCATGTCCTGCTTAAAACCTCTTATGACACCTTCTTCATCCTGCTTCTTAGACATAATATCAGCTGCCACAATTTAAAGTGCTGGGAAACTTTGGATGAAATGAGCCCTTGCCAGAGACTGAGGTTTGACTGGAAGCAGCCGGAAGTGCCCACCATGAGGACTCTCGGTTCTAAGCTGGCCTTGTCAGCCAGAGTCAGGCCCCCTTGGGACTTCTTTGGAGTATATCTATGCCTCCCGCCTGACTCTCCATTCTCCAGGCAGCTGATGGACTGAGCACATCTATTTTGAGCCCTGTGTTAGTTTTACTGAATGTTCTATTTTTATTGTTCAGAAGGCATTTCTACTCCATCCCTAGCAGTTGTACCAGAGAATTCGAAGAGTTCTCCTGTTATCACAGCCCTCGAAAACTTCACTAGAGAACTGAAAAGAAAATCCGAGGTAATGGTCCACTAAAAATGAAGAGCTGGCTTGTTATGAGCTTAAAGTAACAAGTTCATATTATTCATCAGTAGTGTTGTTATCCTTCATATGTGAACGTGCTCCTGAGGCATTGGGGGAGGTATATCTGCCTTAGCTATGGGTACTGATTGTAGTGCCTTTGTGAATTGTGGTTTGTATTGTAAGAAGTTGTTCCATGTCCATTTGCTACAGTGGGACCAGATGGACCTATATGGAAATCAGACTCATGGTTTGGTTTCATTGAGAGCATTCTCAGACAACAGAAGTACCAGAAAGCAATGATTCGGTCATAACGATAGGCAAGGGGGCGGGGACCATGAGGATGAGAGAGGTGTCCAGGACAAAGATGGAGGTGGGCTTTGGGTAGATGGTCAGCTGAGTGGTGGCAAATCTGAGTACAGCTGGGCAGTGCATATGTAGGCTGTCCCAAAATCTTGTCTGCAGGATGAACTTTGGAAGCATTTCAGTTCTCTCCTTTTATGTCCTATTGTTTATAAATCCCAAAAGAGTTATTTATTAGCACATTTGAGAAAAGTATCTTACCCTGAAATATATTCATTTAACTAATTTGGAAAATCTCCAAAGTCTTATCATATTTTTTGCAATACCAATGTAAGCTAGTTTATAATGGAAATTTGTTCATAATATTTAATATGTGTTTTGATAGCATGAATATGTTTTCCTATTTTAGTGTATTGTTCTTTATTGGTACTGAACCTGAGGTAATACATAGAAAGCGTGTAGCAGGGTGTCTTATCACAGTTGTTTAGCAGTAATGTTTGCTATGAATATAATGTGCTGGTAGCATCATTTTCACACAAAGCCTGAACTCCATTTAGGTAGTTATGGTTAATTCAAGTGTGATCATTTTGTTATTGTTGTTATGGTTTAGCTTAGGCACAAAGGAAGTCCACTTTACTCAGAAGATGCAAAGCAAGCACCAGATTGCTTAATCCAACTTTTAAACCAGATACATCAATGCAGGTAAGTGTTGGGTTTCGAAAAAAAGTCATAAAAGTATGATCACTCATAAACATTTGTGTCATGCCCACTGTACTAGGGTGATGAGGACCTGAAGCTTGAGCAGATGTGAGGTCTGATACACCACGTAACCTGTCTAGTTTCTAGTTCTTCATTCATAAGTTGATGGGATAAGGCCTTCCTTAAGCCTCTTCATGGTCTGCCATGGTATGATCCTAAAACACTATTTAAAAAAAATTTATAATCGAATTATGAAGACAGAGCAAGCATGGGTATATATGGAAAAATGCTGGGTAAGTGCTATGTGTCATGCATGTGCAGTGGAATATTATTCAGCCTAAAGAAGGAATGAAATTCTAACACATGCTACATCATGGATGAACCTCAAGGACGTTATGCAAAATGAAATAAGCCAGATACAAAAGGACAAGTTGTGCATGATTGTACTTAGAAGAGGCAAATTCCTAGAGAAGGAAAGCAGAATAGAGATTACCAGAGGCTGAGGGAGTGGGAAATAAGTTTGTGTTTAATCAGTATGGAGTTTCTGTTTGGATGACGGAAAAGTTCTAGAGACGGATGGTGGTGATGATTGCATGACATTGTGAATGTACTTAATGCCACTGAATTGTCCACTTAAAAATGGCTAAAAGGGTGAATGTTACGTTATATATATTGCCACAGTAAAGAGTGCTATGCACTCGCGTGCACACGTGCACACGTATGCAAACACACTCAGATGACCATGAGATGGGAAGGATAGGAAAGGTGAATGGAGAGAGGGCTCTGTGGTGATTAGAGTTAATCTAGAACCATTACAATGGAAGTGCTTTTGTAGTGGTTTTGGAAACAAAGGTTTGAATGGTATACAGAAGGTGTGTATAGAGATTGTTCCTTGTTGGAGAAAATGGCCTGTAGATGAAGGAGGGAAAGAAAACAATGGCAGGTTGGTTAGCTTGACTGAAGGAGGAAGTTTCTTAGGGCAGAAAATGTAATGTGAATAGGAATTACGATTTTTTTTTTCAAACTTTGATACATGCAGTGTCATTTGATTCTCAAAACAAGCCCAAGAAGGACTTTGGACTTGTAGAACTTCCATTGTCTTGTAGGGGTTACGTATTCAGCCATTTTCATTCAGCAAATGCACACTGGGCAGCACGAGGTGCCAGGCCCTGTGCTAAGTGCAGGAGAGCAGTGACAACAAGCTTTGGGAGCTTCTTGCCTTCATAGAACTTTCAGCCTAATGGAGAAGACAGACAATAAGCAAGCAGTTTATGTGGTGGTTGACACAGAATAGCAGATGTCGGAAACTTTAGAACTAACATGTAGAAGACAGAGTTTATTAGCCAATTTCAGCTTTCAGGACCAGCTTAAGGCAAGAGAGGAGGGGAGTAAGTGGAAGTTTGGAAGTGATGGGGAGCCATGATTGGTGGTATAATGGCTTCTAGGCCAGGTCTGCCCTCTGTGTCCTTTTCCCTAGAGTCATCTCTCCTTTGCTCTAAGTATGATGTTAAAATCCCAGCTTCCTCTGGACTTCTGTTGAAAGGATAAATCAGAGTTTTCATAGTTTCTGGGGAAGAGGATGGTCATGCAACGAGAGAAGGGAAGAAGAGATATGTGTTCTTAAAACAAAAGTTGGCGGGGATGCGGAGAAAGGGGAACCATCCTACACTGTTGGTGGGAATGCAAGCTGCTGCAGCCACTCTGGAAAACAGTATGGAGGTTCTTCAGAAAGTTAAAAATAGAACTACCTATGACCCAGCAATTGCACTACTGGGTATTTATCCAAAGGATACAAACATAGTGATTCGAAGGGACACATGCACCCCAGTGTTTATCGCAGCAATGTCCACAATAGCCAAACTATGCAAAGAGTCCAGATGTCCATTGACGAATGGATAAAGAAGATGTCACACACACACACACACACACACACACACACACAAATATTAGTCATCAAAAAGAATGAAATCTTGCCATTTGCAGTGACATGGATGGAACTGGATGGTATTATGCTAAGTGAAATAAGTCAGTTGGAAGGAAACAAATACCATAGGATTTCACTCGTGTGGAATTTAAGAACAAAACATGAACATAGGGGAAGGGAAGGAAAAATATGATAAGAACAGAGAAGGAGGAAAAGCATAAGAGACTCTTAACTCTACAAAACAAACGGACGGTTGCTGGAGGGGAGTTGGGTGGGGGGATGGGGTAACTCGGTGATGGGCATTCAGGAGGGCACTTGATATAATGAGCACTGGGTGCTATGTGCAGCTGATGAATCACTAAATTCTATCCCTGAAACTTATAATACAGTATATGTTAACCAACTTGAATTTAAGTTAAAAATAAAAAAATAAAAGTCTAGAGAAGAATAAGAAGTATCCTTATAAAAATAGGATTGTCTCTTGTTACAGTCAAGCAGTTCCAATGAAATCTGTTGCTTTTTACATTTATCAGACTGAATAAACTAGAACAGTTTCACAGTTTTGTTCTTCAAGAGCTTAACAATCTTGAGAAGGATATTCAGGCTCTGAAATACCTTGAGAAGGATGTTCTGGTAAGTGACCCCCACTTTTGGAATATTCTTTGTGACTTAAGAGGATCTGTTCCAGAGTAGAGTAACTGTTAACTACTTAAAACTTTTGTTCAATTTTAGGAATTTTGGGAAAAACAGTCTGATGATTTGAAATCATTCTGTGATCTGCAAGTGCTGAGGTATTTTTTCAAAGTATTCTTTCTAGAAGTATCTTAGTTGAAGGATAAGGGTAGTGCTTTAGCTATATAGTATGAGTCATTGATGATGGTAAAACTGCATGTAAGTAGCTATGAAGCTGCATCTTTTCAAACCAATTACTTTTGTGGCACTCCCTGAGCAAACATTGTATCTTAGGGTATCAATCTAGAAGTGTAAATTTTGAAAAGCGTAAACAGAATTATACAAATGTCAGTGTTTTTGATCCAAACTGTTTTATTTTTAAGCAATATTACAAAAAAATTAAAATGAGTATATTCTGAGAAAATATTTAGATATATACTGAATTGTGGTCTTGTAGAATATATTCTATATTAAAAAATATATAATGTATATAAAACAGCCAATGAGTTTATCCTGCTACACATTCCTTTCAGTGTGATTACTCAGTGTGCATTCTGAGGCTGTTGCTTCTATTCAGGTAGAATACCATCTGATTCTCTGGAGTGTAGGGAGTGGGAAAATGAACTGTAGGGAGTGGGAAAAGCTTCTGCCCTGGGAGAAATTCTAGTGTTTTTTGTTTTGTTTTGTTTGTTTCTGCTTGAACAATTAAAAAGAATCCTTGTAATGGCCTAAAGTTTTATCTACCGGTTCAGAATCAGCTTCTGTCACAGGTATCTAAGTCCAGTAGTTTTAGGAAGGCCATTATTCTGATCACACCATACTTTTCAAATAACAAAAAGTTTAAAATTTGAATTATCCATCCTTCTGTTACTCCAGTTAACACAATTAATAATAATGAGAGTAGGTAAATAGATTTTCAAAACTCTTTCAACAGATGATTAAAGGAGATATCCTTTCATAACCTCTTCACTGAGTGCTCCTGGTTGGTTGTGAAGGGCTCTCAAACTTCTTGGAATCAGGACCTCTTAACACTTTGAAATTTTATTAAGTTTCCCCAAAGAGCTTTTGTTTCATGGGTTATATCTGTGAATATTTTCCATATTAAAAATTGAGACTGAGATTTAAATATATATTTATTGTAAAATAAAAGAAATATGCCAACAAATTGGACAATCTAGAAGAAATGGATTAATTCCTAAAAAATTAAAATCTTCCAAGAGTGAATCAGAAAGAAATAGAAATACTGAACAGACCAGTCACTAGCAATGAAATTGAATCATAGTAACAAACTTGAATTGGTAATTTAAAAACCCATACTCTGTTGATTACTACAGCTTTGTAATATAACTTGAAGTCTAGAATTGTGATGCCTCCAGTTTTGTTTTTCAAGATTGCTTAGGCTATTTAGGGTCTTTTGCAATTTCATACAAATTTTAGGATGGTTTGTTCTAGTTCTGTGAAAAATGCTGTTGGTGTTTTGATAGGAATTGCATTAAATCTGTAGATTGCTTTGGGTAGTATAGATATTTTAACAATATTTGTTCTTCTAACCCATGAACATAGAATGTCTATTTCTTTGTATCATCTTCAATTTCTTTCATCAGGGTTTTATAGTTTTCAGAGTACAGATCTTTCAATTCTTTGATTAGTTTATTTGTAGATATTTTATTATTTTGGGTGCAATTGTGAATGGATTGTTTTCTTAATTTCTCTTTCTGCTTCTTCATTATTAGTGTATAGAAATGCAACATATTTGTGTACATTAATTTTGTATCTCGCAACTCTACTGAATTTATCAGTTTAGTAGTTTTTTGGTGGAGTCGTTAGGGTTTTCTGTGTATAGTATCATGTCATCTGCAAATAGTAAAAGTTTCACTTCTTCCTTACCAATTTGAATGCCTTTTATTCCTTTCTCTTGTCGGATTACTGTGGCTAGGACTTCCATTACTATGTTAAATAACAGTGGTAAGAGTGGACATCCTTGTCTTGCTACTGATCTTAGGGAGAAAAACTTTCAGTTCTTCCCCATTGAGTATGATGTTAGCTGTGAGTTTTTCATGTAAGTCCTTTATTATGTTGAGGTATGGTCCCTCTAAACCTACTTTGTTTTTATCATGAATGGATGTTGTACTTTGTCAGACACTTTTTTTGCATCTACTGAAATGTTCATATGGTTTGTATCCTTTCCCTTATTGATGTGATGTATCACAAATATTGAACCACTGTTGTATCCCAGGAATAAATCACACTTGATCATGATGAATGCTTTTTAAAAATGTATTGCTGGGTTATGTTTGCTAATATTTTGTTGAGGAATTTTGCATCTGTGTTCATCAGAGAGAGAGTGGCCTGTAGTTCTTTTTCTGTTGTGTCTTTATATGGTTTTGGAATCAGGGTAATGCACAATTATATGGTCAATTAATCTTTGACAAAGGAAGCAGGAATATGCAGTGAAAAAGACAGTGTCTTCAACAAATGGTGCAGGAAAAACTGGACAGCTACATACAAAAGAATGAAACTGGACCACTTTCTTATACCATACACAAAAGTAAACTGAAAATGGATTAAGGACCTAAATGTAAGACCTGAAACTGTAAAAATCCTAGAAAAGAGTACAGGCAGTAATTTCTCTGACATCAGAGAAATTTTGACACAAAAAAAACAACATCTTTCTAGATATGTCTCCTGAAACAAGGGAAACAAAATAAAAAAGCAAAAATAAACTATTGGGACTTCATCAAGATAAAAAGCTTTTGCACAGTGAAGAAACAACCAACAAAACTAAAAGACAACCTACTGAATGGCAGACGAAATTTGCAAATGACATATCTGATAAAGGGTTAGTGTCCAAAATATATAAAGAACTTATACAACTCAACATCCAAAACAAATAATCCAGTTTAAAAAATGGGCGGAAGACACATGAACAGACATTCTTCCAAAGAGGACATACAGATGGCCAATAGATACATGAAAAGATGCTCAACATCACTCATCATTAGGGAAATGCAAATTAAAACTACAATATCACCTCACACCTGTCAGAATGACCAAAATCAAAAACACAAGAAAAAACAAATATTGGTGAGGATGTGGAGAAATAGAAACCCTCTCGCACTGTTGGTGGGAATGCAAACTGGTGTAGCCACTGTGGAAGACAATATGGAGGTTCCTCAAAAACTTAAAAATAGAACTATCCTATGACCCAATAATTGCAATACTGGGCATCTGCCCAAAGAATACAAAAACAATGATTCAAAGGGATATATGCACCCCTACGTTTATTGCAACATTAATTACAATAGACACTTTATGGAAGCAACCTAAGTGTTCATCAATAGATGAATAAAGAATACACGGTATATGTATACAATAGATTATTATTCAACCATAAAAAAGAATGAAATCTTGCCATTTTCAACATGGATAGATTTAGAGGGTATACTGCTAAGCTAAATAAGGCAGTCAGAGAAAGACAAGTACCATATGATTTTCCTCTTGTGGAATTTAAGAAACAAAACAAATAAAGGGAAAAAACAAGAGACCAAAAAAACGGACTCTTAACTCTAGAGAACAAACTGATAGCTACCAGAGGGGAGGTGGGTGGAGAGGATGTGTGAAACAGGTGAGGGGACTAAAAGTACACTTCTCTTGGGGCACCTGGGTGGCTCAGTGGGTTAAGCATCCAACTCTTGATTTCAGCTCAGGTCATGATCTCAGGATCATGAGATTGAGCCCCGTATTGGGCTCCATGTTCAGCATGGAGTCTGCTTACGATTCTCTCCCTCTCTCTCTCTGCTGCTACCCTTAGCTCACACAAAAACTCTCTCTCTCTCAAAAAAAAAAAAAATAGTGCACTTATCTTGATAAACAGAGTAATGTATGTTGAATTGTTGAATCATTGTGTTGTACACCTGAAATGAATATAACACTGTATGTTAAAACAACAACAACAAGCAAAAGTCCAGGACCAGATGGATTTACAGGTGACTTCTAACATTTTAAAAAGATTTAATACCTATTGCTCTCAAACTATTTCAAAAAATAGAAGAGAAAGGAAAGCTTCTGAATACATTCTACTAGACCAGCATTTCTGTAATATCAAAACCAGACAAAGACATTACAAAAAAAAAGAGAACTATAGGCTGATATCCCTGCATTCTGATGAATGCAGATGAAAAAATCCTTAACAAAATATTAGTAAACCACATTCAACAGAACGTTAAAAGGATCATTCCCCAAGATCAAGTGGGATTTATTCTGGGGGTTCAAGGATGGTTCCATATGCACAAATTAATCAACAGGATATACTACATTTATAAAATGAAGGATAAAAATCATATCTCAGTAGATGCAGAAAAACCATTTGACAAAATTCAATTTCATTGCTGATTAAAAACTCTCAAAAGTGGATTTAGAGGGAACATACCTCAACATAATGAAGGCCATATATGATAAACCCACAGCTAACATCATAATGATAAAAAACTGAGAACGTTTTCTCTAAGATCAGGAAAAAGACAAGGGTGTCCACACTCACTGCTTTTATTCAACATAGTTAATGGGAGTCTTACACAGCAATCAGAAGAAAAAGAAGTAAAAGGTACCCAGATTTGTAAGGAAAAAGTGGAATTGTCACCATTTGCTTAAGACATGATACTATATCCAGAAAATCCTAAAGATTCCACCAAAAAAACTATTAGAACTTATTAATGAATTCAGTAAAGTTGCAGAATATAAAATTAATATACAGAAGTCCGTTACATTTATATACACTAATAATGAAGTAGTAGAAAGATAAATTAAGAAAACAATCTCATTTACAATTAAATCACAAAGAATTAAAAACCTAGGAATAAACTTAACCAAGGAAGGAAAGACCTATGCTCTGAAAACTATAAAATATTGTTGAAAAAAATTGAAGACAAAAACAAATGGAAAGATATACATGCTCATGAATTAGAATAATTAGCATTGTTAAAATGTCCATACTACTCAAAATAACTTAGATTCAATCAGAATACCAGCAACATTTTTAACAGAACTAGAACTAATAATCCTAAAATTTATATGGAAACAAAAACCCTGAATAGCAAAAGCAGTCTTGAGAAAAAACAAAGATGAAGGTATAACAATCCCAATTTCAAACTATACTA